CTCAACTGAGTTTAACAGCTTTCCCAGCGCCCTTACAGGGCACAAAGGGTTTTTCTTATCGAGTTTGAGGACTGGTACAGTTATCGTTTTCTGCTGAAAACGGTCAGTCTTTAGAACCCGAACCGACAGCAAGGCGCTATCCTGCGTAAACTGCACGTCGCCTGCGAGAAGGTGACAACCCACATCGCTCTTGAATAAATTTGCGCTGCGCAGTAGGGAGAAAAATCCAACCACCGTAGCTGTCCAGAAACAGCAGCGGTACTTTTTCTCCATCAAACCCAAACTACCGTGGATTTTTAATAAATCCGCTGGCATAAGCGGATCCCGCTTATTCGGTAGCTCAGTTCGAATGCGCTGCAAGCCGGTCAAAGCCTGCTTTATCAAAAAATGATTTAAATCCGGAGGAGGAAAATTATTTAGCGTATGAAATGAACTTGAACTAGAAACATAATTTTTTACTGTTGCAAACTCTAATGTTTTTGATAAATGAGCAACGTAAAGAGCAACAGTCTCCTCTTCAGCAGGAAGAGCGCGCAACTTGTACCGCTCGCAAAAGGTCACGAACGTTCTCCATTGGGAAGAACGTGTTTTCGAGGTGGTAGCCGCCATTGACTTAAACCGAAGCTCGGACAGCTCACGGCGCAGTTGGAAGACTGCAACAGGGACAAGACGGTAAATTGGGGCCGGGAAAATTAAACTTATAATATTCGAAAAAACGTGAGGCATGTTGCGGGGTCTCTGTTAATCTGCTCAGGGCATCCGCCAACACATTCTTAACTCCAGCCGAGTGTGTAGCGACCACTCGGAAGTTGTGAGCATTGCTTGCGGCAAATACGAGCTTAAGCCATTTCAACGCCTCTACATTTTTAGTTGTGCCTCTGTTCAGAAATGGCACGGTTTGCGTGTTATCTGAGAGAACGACAACTTTGGTGCCTTCAAAATTGGAAGCAAAAACTATGAGCGGAATACACGCGGCTATCAGCTCTAAAAAGTTGATATTGCGTTCTAGCGATGCGTGCACGTATGGCGGTAACAGCCAATTTTGCTCAAAACCAGTAGGCTTATCCGAGCTTGTTGACCGCCAAGTGCCGGCAAGCCAGCTGCCCTCCACTACCGCACCAAATCCTGAAAAGGATGCGTCAGTACAGACAGTAATAACTGTCCGAGGTGCACCCAGCGGGCACGGACAGAGACCGTTGAAGCCGGCAGCGAAACTAATCCACCAAGACAGCTCAAAGCGTAAAAGTTTGTTAACCTTTACTTTATGCCACGGCTTATCAATGGTGCACAAACAATCAATAAAGATTCTAGTGAAAGTGCGGGCGCCGTAAACCGCCTTGGCGGCAAACGCGCCAAATACGCTGAGTATTCGCCGATTAATCGCTTATATACGGGTGGCTGCCCAGTGGGCATCTACGAATCAGGTCGCATCGCTACCAGAGAGAGAGCTTCTAACCGCTAGACACTTAACAGCATCGATACAGATTACAAACATGGATTCATCAAGACACGCTGCAACAGGCGTCAGCACCTGTGCACAATAATACTAAGATTATCGCCATAATCTATCCCATTATCACGAACAAACGCGTGGCTGGAGCAGCGTGTAAGCAGTTCTCCAACGCAGTGTCCACTTTCGTTGGGAAATGCATTTGACAATGGACAGAGGTATTCAAAGAAAAAAATTAGGAGGGCGTGCCTTCGTGCTTAGCGTTTTAACCGCGCCCGGAAAAGTGGACGACATCGTGTTTACAACTTTTAATAGCTAAGTGTGTATGTTACCTTTATGATACATTGATACGCAGATAGTCGAAACGGTGATCTTCTGCACAAGCTGCCCTGCGGATCCAGGCAGCAAGATGCGCCAGGACGACGGTTGAAACCGCTAAATTTGCTTCTAGCATCTTCCATAAATCAATCCGCAGAGTGTACGACTCCAGATACAGCACACCAAAGGAGATGTCTTCCTCCAAATCATGCGCGTAGACTGCAGAAAATTTACAGTTTTCCAGATGAGAGTGTCGATCACCAGAGCAACATCAGCGAAAGCGTTGCTGATGCTGACCGTCTCGCGGCCAAAATCTTCACCCATCTTCCATACCAGTCTGTTGACAATGACCACCAACTTCTTGCCAGGAGGAGGCGGCAGAGCGATGGAACAGCATTCGAAATAATAATTCGTTCTGTTGTCGCGGTTATGCATTTCCACAGAGTCTGACCGACGATTGCAGTCGTATTATTGACTTCCAGCTTCGTGTGGCCGATGGCGAAAGAAACTCGAATTTCTTTTGGAGTTTTTCCGGATGTAAAAGGGAATTCCACAATGTGTTTACCTGGCGGTATTGTACGTAGTATACGTTGTACAGACACTGGAAGATTTCTTCAAGGATATTCAATGCCAACATGGACAGCGACCTATCGCCAGCTGCATCCAGAAATTCTTGTTGTATAGCGAGACCAGTAAATATGTGTTCCACGTCATCGGTTGGGGGCGGCAGCCAGTGCGCACCGGAAAATGTCCAGCCATCAGAAAAGCGCTTTTCCATATCTTTCGAGCGTGTGTCAAAGAGCGCAACTGAAATGGTAAGGCCTCAATGGAAATTTATAAAAAGAATTCTTACTGACTGCGAACTTCGTTCCAATGTTTAGAGGTGCTACATAAGTTGTCTTTCTGAACTTCTGCAAGAAATGTCTGTTTCTTTCGTGTACACAGTGTAAACTGCAATAAACTGATACATACTCTAAGGCTGTAATACTGGCATATACCGACACATATATACCGATACATATCCGAGTCCGCCATTCATAAATTTAACAATAAATCAGCAGTTGATAATCCAACAGGAGTACATTCAAAGCGCATAAACGGCCACCGTGGGGCTCTAGCACAGAAGAAATTTTTGCGCATAAGGCGTTAAGCGAAGCATGCACTTCTTTTGATCTACGTTGAAACAACACTGAGCTCTATCGCCTCACTATATACAGGTATGCGCATTGTGTAACAGGAAATGAACAGAGCATACGCACAACGCCACTACCCAACAATATGTTATTCACCGGTAAAGGGCAACGGTAGCTGTCCCGTTGCCCATAAGTATGACCACTGACATTAACAACGTCTAACTCGAAGCTCACCAGTAAATCAGGGGAAGTGGCAACCGACTTTTTTTGATATAGTAAAGCGTGTCGTTTAACAGATATAAAGGTACAATTTGCAAGCCGAACAGCTCCTCCCGCCAACAATTCCACAAGTGGTGATAACCGGATCTTGATGTACAGGTCCGTAGTGACCCGACAAAGGATACCGTCCAGTCGACAAATGCTCGGAATGAATGCACCGCTTCCTCAAGTCGTCGGCTGAAGGTACGGTACGTAAGAGATCGACAGGGATGACCTCTGGATGAATGGTTGAACCGCACTGGAGCTCCACTAAGGCGTAGCGGTTGCAGAACAAACCACGAATAAATAAGTTGACGGAGTACCACTTCCAAGGTTGACCGGCACATGGGCGCCCCAAAACTTGCAACCAGGAGCTGGGATCCAATACACGGGCAACGAGGTTCTCATCTTTCGTAGATGATTGCCCTGTCGATGTCAAGCATTCAAAGATCTCTCCATATTTCACAAATTGTGAACGCTGTTCATGGCAATCGAAGTCGATAACCAGACCGTTTTCCATGATTTCAGTAACATTTCCCTGCTGGAGTGCGTCATCGGGTAGCTGTACGTCTACGCTGTTCCCTCCATATATTCCGGATGTTTTAAAGATAAAGCGCATTCTCAGAAAATGATCGAAAAAACTTGCAAAACGAAACTATAAGTAGTTGATAATTTAACACTCCAGGCAGATGTACGACAACAGCATGCAGTTACGTCAAAGCTCATATTAAAAATAAAAGCCGCCTCTGAAGAATATTCTCACAAGCTCAAAACAGACTAGCGCAATTTAATATCGGTTACAGTAAAGTGAGTAAACTGAATGCCTTAGCGATGCAGAAGTGCAGTGCCGTTATGCTCGCTCGTCGTGGTTCGAGAAAGTAACCCACATAGGCACGCCGTACGTGTACAATGATGCTCATATGGACACCAACAAAGAAAAATCACTGGAACGAACGAATGTCGGTAACGAACGAACAACGAACTGTGTCAGTAGCTGTGCTCAAACGGGACCCGGATCCCACTTGCACACAATATGCACTTGTTCCGGAAATGGGTCTCCGTAGATGGTGAATCCTTAATCCTGGCGTAACTACAGACAGGCACGGCCAGTACTCAATTCCGGAAAAATGCTCGTACTTACAGCTAGTGCGCATTCGGTGCAATGCTGGCGCTTTAAACGAAGACCATCCTTTTGAGATGAGAAAATCTTCAGTCTTACTTTGTCTTCAGTTAAAGTGATTACTTCAGTTATTTGTTTATTTTTATATTTATTTCATTTTATTTAAATTCTGCATTTATTACAGTTCCGTACCGGTATTTGGCGTATCACAGCTTGGTCAAGCGTGGCTTACTAATGACCAGAAACCACATAAAAGGGACACAACTGCACCAGTGTTTGCAATGTCTTATAACTTTAATCGGTTGTTTGTGCCTTCGCAAGCGAATAATAAATATTAAAAGTTATTATGCCGCCATACAGATATTGTAAACGGAATTAAGAATTTCGCTAATGCCGAATAGTTAGTTATTGGAGTTAACTTCTCTCGACTACAACAGGCTTTGGTTAGGGCACTATTGGTTTTCGCGGAGTTAGCTCGGATTGCCAAAAGCACAAAACTGGATACGAGTGCGAATGCGACCAGCATTACTCGGGTTTATACGCTATAACTGAATTGATGCTATGGAGTCGAGCAAAACTCAGCAGAAGTAGCGTTACAGTTTCGCTAACAGCAATTCCAAAAACTAACAGCAGCTTAGCCAACTATGCATGGAGCTTCGCAACTACATAAATAGCGGTAAGGAAAATTGAGAAAAATTATCACAGAAAGGGGCCACTAACTTTAATGAATCGATGGTGATGATGGTATTGCATCTTGCATATGGCTTAATGAAATAAACGGTATAGATACTGTACTGTGTCGTAGTTTGAATTTCTGAAAGGCATGACTGGAGTATGAAAATACTGAAAATAAGGAAATAACAAGAATCCATTTTATTCACCACGAGTTTATCGCAAAAATCAATTGCTTATTGAGTTTGATGGTGTTGTGGTTACAAGCAAGCCGCGTCGTGCATGAGTTTATGACCTTTGATGAGGACATCTACCGGTTTCTGGCCACAAGACGCTACCCAGCTGGTTTTGACACTTCCGTTTACCTCGGCAAACAATCGAGATGTCCTGTAAATTGCAGGATGCTTTATTGTCAGGACATCGGCAGCTGTAGTCCACATGAAAAACCATTCGCAGTTGCATCACGGGCAACCTTATCTCAGTGGCAGTTACAATAAACTTCCTTCGAAATTCCAACAATAATAAGAAAGCGAGGATTTTTAAAACGGAAAAGGCAGTTTCAGATATTTAAGTTAAAAACCGTTTATGCCGCCACGTTAGTCGGTTATCAGTGGTTTGAGAGGTGAAAGTCTCTGAAATTTTTTTTTGTTTACTTATAAAATTTTCAACATAGAGGTAACCCGAAAGGTAAAAATACTAGTAGTTAAACAAAAATTACTTTTTACGATGGAAATGGCTCATGTGGGTTACGAGCTTTTCTTGTCAGGAGCATTTATTATGCTCCTTCTAGACTATTGCGCAAGTTTACCATTCCTAGTATTGCTACTTTGAAATTTGAACCAATCTTTTCAGCTTACTTGCAGGCCATCCGGAGTGCCGTTGTAGCATTGCGCGCTTCGGCGTAGTCATCATGGATACTGGGTACAACATTCCAAAAAAATTCTCTGCCTTTAACGAAGCACTCCGCGAAGGCCCGGATGAATTCTACGGGGTTGACGGCGGATGCGCACAGTGTGCTCAAAAGAATATCGCTCTTGGCCTCGTACCACTTATACCTTCGATTATCACGAACAAAAGCCTGGCTCGAGCAACGCGTCAGCAGTTCTTCCACGCATTTTCCGCTTTCCTTTCGAACGCTAGAACGTGGATAATTTAAGCGCTTCATAACTGAACTCCGTCGCAATACATTATCCTTATTTTACGCCCACTGTTTTTCAAAATTTTGGTCCACATTCTTAACCCTCCAGCGGGCGGTACCCGAAGGAGTGCGAATTTTCTTTTGAAAATCAAGATTTCCCGATGAAAAAAATCAGTTAAGATAGGGAATTTTTTGTGGGCTTGTGCTGACCATAGGTCAGCGGTGGTGACTAGGGTGTTTGCCAACGCCAATGCCCATGGACGGTCTACAGCATATAAATCCGTATTTTTGCGACAATGAGGTTAACAGGAATAAAGTAAAAGCAGTTACTTCATTAAATAGCACAAAAAAATTACTTTAAAACAGAAGTATGGAAGTGGTCAACAATTTGACCACTGGTCAGTACAAAATTAAAAACTGCCAAAACCCGTTTTCTTGCATTTTGACCGATGCTACATATAAAAAACGTAGAAAACAAGCGATTCTGAGACTATTCCTCCCCAAAACTTTCATCAGTCTCTCCTATGGCACTAAACGGAGCAGTCTTTGTGCAATTTAACATTGACACACCGAGTTACCTTCACACTGCGTACATTGTTCGGCTTTGCACGTTTCCTGGATGTGGCCGCAGTTGCCGGTATGGGGAAAGCGGCGGAAATGGTTCAGATACAAAGGCGATTGGCGCCGAACCTGATATTAGTTGTCACTCGCACTTTTGGAACGAAACTCATTAGCGACCGGATGTGACCTATCGAGCTAAGGCTGTTCGGAAACGTTAACATCACTAATGTGATCATAACAGTTCGCAGTCGCCCGAGACTGGTCAAAACTCAAAATTTGCATGGTTTTTTAAAGCTACGTGGCTTCACAGCTTTGCTTGCCCAAGCGGTGCATCGGCATTCGGTATCAAAGGTGGAACGCGGCAGAAAGCAGTATTGTGCTGCCATTTCAATTCACAGAGCGACATTATACACTGACGATAGAATTAGAATCACGTCTACCATGCCGACCGCCCGGGGTGGTGTTCAGCAACCCCATGTTTTGCCAACTTCCAACAACCAAACCGCATGGTGCATGTTTGGCGTCCGAACCGATATTAAATTATTCCGGTTACGTAGTGATAAGAATCTGTCGAAAGTGCACCCGCCCGTGTATTCACAACCCTTCATGGGCAATGGTGTTGGCACGCAACACACGTTTTTGACGGACTGCGGTCATCTATGGTTCAACTTATAGAATCTGCGTTGGACATTTTTGAATAAAGCGTTGTCAATTGTACCTTGTTGAATTATCTCCGATTTAATTACTCATCCACTATTTAGTTAATTAGCAAGATCTCCGAGAGGTCACAAAGTCCGAAATTGGTCATTTATGGACACCTGTAGTTTGTAATTAACTTAAGATACAAGTTTGAGTTCTGTTGTTACTGCTGCTTTAAGGTCCCTTGTTGCTAGTTATGCAAAGGGATATCAATTAACTGCTCGCGATCACTTGGAAAAAAACCATGAACACCACGTTGCGCCCTGACGCCAATGCCCGTCAACGGGTTAATAGCGAAAATGGTTTAATAAATATTAATTACCTTAATAACGGCGAAATTTGTTTTCTTACAACTTAAATTCGGTTCCAGTGGAAAAGAAATATCTTTCTCACAGGTTTGTTTGTTGATTTTATTGCTTTTCGAGCTTAGTTTGCTAGTCAGGGATTAATAAGTTTTTTATTTGCATTTTATTTTGTCGTATTAGCAAAAATCGAGATCTGAATACCGGCAGAAGTTGTCAGCTAGATCGCTATGCGCAGAGGTAAGAGGCCACTCCAAGGAAATTATCTGAGTAAGGGTAGAATCACGCAATACACGTTGGCATCGGAAGTCCATTTCCACGCAACTATCGTCGCCATGACACAGCGAACCTAATAGCACAGAAGCAATCCACAAATAGGAAAGTAAAGAAACCATCGTCTTCAGTTCCTTGTTTGACTGGCTACTAGTCAGTACTCGTAGTCCCCACTGATAAAATAAAAATTAACAGCAGAGTTGAAGCAACTGTTTACTAGGTTCCAGTTGAGCTGGTAAAATGTGCCGCGCATGCTGCCGGTGGCCCGGTGGAACCTTAAAGCTGTGCGACTTGATAATCAAGAAAAGCAATCGGAACGAGTCTGAATAATCAGTTTCTGAGAAATATCTCACGGATCATCGAACAGTTACTGTCGGGCCTTCGGCATTATAAACAACAAACACGAATTGATTCCGTATCCTTGAAAGTTAAAAGCTGTAGGCTATGAACATATTTCCTCATGCAGATAAATTTCTGTTGGAAATAAATTCCATATATTTTATTCTGTGTCTTTCTTGTTTGTACTTATTCTGCCATCGGGTGAAATTGTATGAGGTAAAACTGCTGTAACAGAATTAAAGGTTCAAAAGAATCAGCAAGTAACACAAGAATACAGTGTATACATGTATTACGGTATGTTTGTTGTTTCCGATTACCGGCACATGCTATGCAGTACAGACTGACAGCAATTCGTCAACTGTTAGGTACGAGCACATTATTTCTGAATATCCGGTAATCGGATTAGCGTTTTCAGATGAGTTAATCTGTGCGTGTGATTAATGCACAAATTAGGTTGAATGCAGTTTTCCAGCGCAAGTAGAGCTCGAGCATATAGAAGGAAAATGTTGTTCTGATTTGTGCTGGTTTTCTACTTTTTGCCAATGTGCAAATTGCAAGTTCTGTAATTCTATCAACGTTTACGGAAAAGGTCAGTGACGCTTTAAGTCCATAAATAAAGGCGCGCGCTGGACAAACCAAGTTCTCAATATTTTAGAGCAACTGCAGTGTAAACAGCTGCAAAAGTATTAACTGCGCCGAATCTTTCTGGTTTGTGGAATTCGTCCGGGATAAGCGAAACTTAACAGCAGAAGCATTTGCTGTCCATAATGCGTCGAAAAAACACCCATTACTGAATTAGCATTGTTGTACAGACACATAAATGCAAAGCAAGTAAAGTTTACACTATAAATAATATTCGGCCAGTTATTTACGATAAACAAATCAAACACAATAAAAGCTACGCAATATGATGACAGAATTGCTGGAGCAAAATAATTAACGCGTATCGGCGATTATATGCGATTCTCTATATGTAGTGTACAACCCCTTTTTAAAACTTTGCGGATGGTTCAGCAAAAGAAACAAACTTATTTCCCCGCGGCTAGCGACTGTTGTTTAAGCATGTTCATCGTTCACGGTTCAGAGCTCTCAACGTCAGAGCAGTTAATTTTGACAACTCCATACGGCGCAGTTCCTCTTCCGTCATCCTTCCGGCATCTTCGGATCTGTAATATTCTTTGTTGCGTGGATCGGCGAAATGCAGATCGCATAGAATCTGTTGGGGTAGAGTGAATAAGAGCAGTGAACAACTTTTTATGTTCGCAATATCCGGCATACAGTTGACATACAAACCGAAACACAATGAATCTGCCAGGCTTAATACATACTAGCTCTAACCTTGAATAACAAAATCTATCACTTTGTTAACATTTTGAAGGATTAGAGCGGAAGTTAGGTCTAGATCGGGCGGCATCACAGGCTAAGAAAGTCTGTGCGTGCTCAAATTTCGTATAAAAACATAGCTACTTATGCGTTAAACGGTATGAATATTTATCGCAGCTGTATAATTTGTTTGTGTTCCTTGTAAGACGTGGCGTGTTCTTGCCGTTATAACTGTTCTAAAAATTATTGGCATGCATTGTAATGCATACGGAAACGTATGGCCACTCACCTGCAAAATATCTGCACGGTGCTTCTTAGCGTTCTTCTGTATCCACTCGCTTAAGATCGCCGGTTGCATGCATGTAGCCGGCAGGAAGGTTGACGGGTTGATGGTTGACGCTCAATGAAGGTCATCAACCTTTCTGCCAGAGCGCATCAACCTTTCTCTAAAGGTCATCCACCTTTCTGCTGAAGGTCCTACGTCCTGTAAAGGAAGTCGTGTGCGTGTTTCTGAACACTTAGCTTGTTCTGGCTTAATTGCTATTGTTATTTCGTTATATAAAACGTATTTCGGTTTTTCGTTTCGGTAAATTGAAACTTTGTTTGCTTAAAAGCAAAATGCATGTAAGGACTATCATGTACTGCGTACATGGCGCACCAGTAGCCAACAGGGAGGTGAACGGGTTGTGGGTTGGTATTTGCAACTGGCAGGAAGGCAGGTTGGAGGATGGTGGATGTACAATGAAATCACAGGGTGGCAGAGCGGTGGACGGCTCATTCACGAATTTGCCGGAGCGCGCCCACATTTCTGCCGAATCATTGTCGGCTTCCACTGATCCAACAAAGACGCCATTGTGAGCATTGAGATCCATTGCGAGATCAATACATGCCGCCACTGCTCGGCAGAAACGTGGCCGCAGGTACGAGTCTATTTCTCGTATGTCTTTCATATGTCTATCGCTCTACCTGTGTAAATACAGTTTATATGCCATCTTAGTCGTCTTTCCAAATCATACTTGAATTTTTTTAATTCCGGAATTTAAAATTGACGTTAACCAATTAGATGTGCGAGAAGCGAATTATTTAGGCTTGCCAATCAGCTGTTCAGCTGACTAATTGGCTTCTCGCACATCTCAGTGATTAAGGTCACTTTGAATTACGGAAATACACAGTTCAATTGGGATATTGAAAGACGGCTAAAATGGCATATACACTGCACAGGTAGCGCGAAAAGACATCTGCGCCACCTTTCTGCCTGAGCAGTGGCGGCATGCGCCGCAATCACAATGGGCTTGAATGCACACAGTGACCTCATTTTTAGATCAGTTGAAGGCAGAATTGATTCGGCAGAAAGGTGTACGCGTTCGGGCAGGTAAGTGGATGGGATTTCATTGTAAGCCCACCATTCTCCAGTCTGCCGTGCTGCCGGTTGCGGACATTTAAGGAGGGTCATCAACCTTTATGAAAGGTCAACAACCTTTCTGTAAAGGTTATCAACCTTTCTAAAAGGTCATCAACCTTTCTGTAAAGGTCATCAACCTTTCTGCCGGCGGTGTCTATTGATCTTATTGTGCTCATTGTACTTTATTGTGCAACACAATTATTTCGCTGTCGGTTAGGACATAATATTGTGTCGACTGTTCATAGTTCGTACGTTGCGTCCGCATGTTTGATCGTAGGTAAGCGGTTTAACTGATAAGGCAATACCGATGGTGAAAACTGTGACAGACAACTTTTGCAGTTGCGCAAAAGCTTGATGTGATGAATGGGTGCCGACACCGGTTCGGCAGAAAGGTGGATGCGTCAATGATTCTGTACTTGTCATATTATTTTTTTCGTGGCAGTTGTGCTCATTGTAAGTCACTGTTGTCGTCAGTTCAAGGCGGATTCAGTGAATTGCTTCGCTTGCTTATTCAACATCCAAGCCAGGTGTTTAAAAAAACCATTATTTAATTTGCTTTTCAACGAGCTAGAAGAACGATAAGCAAATGGAGCTACAATGGGTGCATTGGCGTCGTTGATAGGAGTAATGGATACCGTTGGGAGATTCATGGATAACCTCTGGCAGAAAGATGGATGCCCTATGGCAGAAAACTGGATGTCCTCTCTAGTAAGGTAGATGGCCTCTGGCAGAAAGTAAATAGCCTTTCCAAAAATGTGAATAATCCTCGGCAAAAATGTGGATTACCACTGGTGGAAAGGTGGATCACTTCGGCAGAAAGGTTGATAACCTAAAGAGAAAGGTTGATGACCTTTAGAGAACGGTTGATGAGCTCTGGCAGAAAGGTGGATGACCTTTAGAGAAAGGTTGATGAGCTCTGGCTGAAAGGTTGATGACCTTTAGAGAAAGGTTGGTGAGCTCTGTAAGAAAAGTTGATGACCTTTAGAGAAAGGTTGATGCGCTCTGGAAGAAAGGTTGATGACCTTTAGAGAAAGGTTGATGCGCTCTGGCAGAAAGGTTGATGACCTTCATTGAACGTCAACCATCAACCTGTCAACCTTCCTGCCGGCTACACATGCACACAGGGGACAAATTCGCTTCTAATATTTGGCACGTATCGGATATCATATCAGGTGAACTAAAACAGACCGCACCAGAAAACATCTCTTCTTCCATAAAGGGCAGAATACCGGGAGACCAACGGCATCGGCTCCACACCAACGCCTCAACAACCGGCGAAGCATCTTTGCATGCCCGAATAAAGTCGCGCACTTCGTAACCGAAATGCTCAACGATCTTCCATTCACACGCGTTAGCAATCACTAGTATCTTTCTCCCGGGGATCTGCGGCAAGGCATCCCAGACGGCTTGGATAAAGCGCAGACACTCTGCCAAACCTGGTTCGTCAACGTTTTGCACAGCGTTGGTTATCACGATTCGTTCCGTCCATGTAGAAATGCATTTCCAAAGCACTCTGCCAGCCAGTGCAATTCCGCTGGCAAGATGCTGGTCAGACATTGCCAGATTCGAAGGAAACGTCACCCGAATCTCAGTGGACATTTTGCTCTGGCCTAATATGCAGCTCCACAGTACGCAGGTGCGACGGTACATCGCCTGGGCTGCACTGTCCAGAAACTGGAAGACTTCTTCCAGGATTTCTATCGGCAACACTGGCAGAGTTACCGCTGGATCAGATGGCTTGTCATCATTGGGAAGATTATCCAAAAAATATTGATATTCCGAAAACAGCTCACATTGGTCACATGCCGGAAACCATTCATTTTCCGTAAACGTCCAGCCTTGGAAATGAAGCTGCCCCATGGCTTTTTTGGCATCTTTCAACGCAAGTTCCTGTCATAACATTAAAAAAATACAGGAAGTGTAACAATGTTTACAGAGTAAACTGTGTCAGATACCGTACATACATACTTTGACACATACAAACAAACATACAAACAAAACAAGCTACGAGTATGTCTCAACGATTAATTCATAACTTCCAAACATTCATAACGTTCCCTCCACACCAACGCCTCAAACACCGGCAACAGAATTTTTGAATTGGTTAATCTACAGTGTACCTATACCATACATATAATTCAATTTGATCAAATTTAAAATTACCGAGGAAGAACTGAGCGAACGAAGCAAGTGGAAAGCTGCATTAAGCATTTTAAACAGCTAGCTTCGAAATAACTATCCCGCATTGATGAGTTTGACCGACTTCATTTTCACCTCCAACCCAGTCCGATTGCACTGCCGGCAAAAACCGATTGTTTTTAACGGATTGTATGAAACATAAGGAAACATAAGAAACAGTCGGAAACATAAGAAAACATCCTCAGAAGACGTAATAAAACAATAAAAGAAAATATAAGAAAACATAAAAACCAAAAGAAAACATAACAATAAGAGAGAAAAAAAGAAGCCCGGAAAATTTGAGAAAGCAAAGTAGATAGGAAAAACTAAAAACAAATAGGAACCTAGATAACCTAAAAACTTTTTGGAATTTCTGAAATTTGATTGCGGCAAAATGTCGCACTCGCAGTTCTGTGGGTGCGCATTAACCTATAGGATATAAAAGTACTATACTTCAAGCATATATAGTACATTGCAGGGATGTTGTATGAAGAACAATACTATCTTTTTAAAGATTATACGGTTTAGGTTCTCCGACATTCACCATATCATAACTTCTCACTGATCCAGGTATTTTCTTTTCCAGGTACACAAGTTTGTCTTCAAGGAAACACACAGGTGATATTCCCCAGCTATACAGCCTAGCCTTCCACAAATTCCATAATGGCCGCGCCGCTCGCCCATCAGCTGCGCCCCAGTAATCCTTAGGCAGCAGACATGAACTGGTGATAAAATGGTCGGCACGAATAATTCTTTGTGGCAGGACTTCCGATGAGGGTACGATGCGGATGGGTCGGACATGTAAAAATTTCTGGAAAAGAGCCGAGCCATACTGCACTTGAATGCAGGCATATCTGTCACAGAACAAACGCCGAACAAGAAATTTGGCCGGATACCTGGTCCATGGTTGACTGTGGCAGGGGCGCGCTAGGACTTGAATGGGATCCTGATTGTAAATACTAAGTGCACTTATCAAGTCGACAGCGATTTCGTGATCAATGGTGTGGGTTTCCTGCGTAGGCGGTAGGCAATGGAAGATTTTACCGTACTTGACAAATTCCGAGGACCTACCGGGACAGTGGAAATCGATAACCAAACCGTTCTGTGCCACGTTGACAACCGTCCCATGTTGTAGCAGGCCATCCGCTCCCAACACGTCCACCCAATTCCATGTGTACACCGCGGTGGAGTTGAAAAATAGGCGCATTTTATGCACGAATCATATAAAATGGTAGGAATAAAGGTTGATTGTAACAAGGATGGTGGAATTACATAAAGTATTTGATGTGAGTGGAATGTGCCGGAATGTACCTTATCTTTTCGTTGTTTCATCAACTGCATACACTAGGAAAACTAATTCAAATCATACAGTACATACAACCGAGTCTGCTCGTTATAAATCCAACGAATTTGCTTTACTCAGTGATGTGATTTTGTGCTACCGATGGATAAACTGAGCAGACCGTACAGCAGGTGCCACTGACTCACATCGTCAAGGGCTTAAACAGCTGCTTCTCGCTGGTTTTAGGTATTCTGAGTTTTTCCGCGGTCGGTAAAATCAATGTCACCTTCCAGTGCGGCAAGTGCACCGTTGGTCAGCAGCCATAGGTTGACGCGATATTATTATCTTACAAAATATCATAAAGCAATGCAAAAAGGTGTTTGCGAGTTTGCGACAACAAAATTTCTCGTGGATGTGCAGGAATCTTGGGGCTATGTTTCGAACCGAATCCTTTCAGCTAATTAAACAAATAAACAAACCCTTTGGCTATTGTTACAACCTTTTTTGAATAAAAAAACACCGCTTTTACTGTTATCACACCTTTCTTACTCAACTTGACTGTGGTCATTCCGTGAGTGTCGCAGTCAGCCGCCCGTGCTGACTGCTTTAGGTTCATTCGATTCGGTGAATGCTATGAAAATGCATACAGCGTGGAACAGATGCACTGTAAAAAATAGAGACATCCTGAGTCGAGAGTACTGTGTTGTCGAGTCAGCTTGGCACCTTTTTGTACAGTGAGTAGTATAGTAATATGAATTCGTCCATGAAGATGCGAGTGAAGACGGTGTAACAGGAGTCGAGAGTGTGAGCTACCGGATTGGTGCAAAATGTGCCGGTACGTAGTAGCCATTTCCAACAGAGAAATAGACTATTAAGTAAGTATGATAGTATTCTGCAGTCTTTAACAATGCAGCTGAAACCGGCGAAAAACGAGCCACGGAATACCTTCGACAGCGGATCAGCATTGAAATTCAACGAGGAAATGCGGCATCGATCATGGGGACAGCGCCAATGGGAGCAAATTTAGATCAATTTTTCTCTGTAATTAGCCCGCCCCTCTCGGTTGATGCTTAATAAGTGGTTGCTTCCAAGTTACTGTAAAAGTTATGGTGATTAAAGTGCATACGATTGATGCAGCTGTATTAAATGGAAAATTACGGAAAGGCGGAGGATGGAATGGAAAGGGAAAGGCGGAGGAAATAGTAATAAATAATTAAAGAGTAATAAATGGAAAGGCGGAGTGTGGATTTATAATCCCATAATAATTAATTGGACTGTGCGCTGACGTCACTACAGTTCACAGATGACCGTCCCATCATAGTACCTATTCAGAAATCCCAGACATACTCCTTGAATTCAACAGAAATCGCTAAAACACCGATAATAGAAAATATAATGCTTCTTTGCGCAGGCTAATCCCCGGAAAATCGTTATAATCATATTCGTCCACTGGAACTTTGGCATACATAAGTAAGCATCGCATCAAGTTATCAATTAACAGTTCGCACATCTGACAAATATATAGGCCAGACTGCCAGAGGGTGTATATACCACCTACCAGTAGTAACACAAACATGCTCGTGGGCCACCTAGCTTCTTCAAAATAATCAGACTCAGCGAGCGATGTTGAGGTAAGTACAATAACAAATTAACGTCTGATACAGCAGCCATCGGCTTCGGATAAAGCACACGCTGTATACAAGAGAATATCAAACGTTCACCTAACCGGCTTGATTGTTTACTGCCATCCAGCCATTCGGCAGTTTCCGAACTTCAAATAAAACATTGCAGTAATGTAATAGCTTTTTCATAGCCGTTTTAATATTCATTTAATGTACTCCGATCGGGGCAATGCAACCCACGTGTGGTTAACGCAGCCATGTTGTTGATCGTCATCCTGTGTTGGTACGGAGTGGGTGTTGTCCTGGCGGCCACCACAGTCAGGGGTCCAGAGACTACTCTGCAGGAGGTATTCCACGACGACTTTGTCGGAATCAAGCTGAACACCAGCCGATGGAACGCGGCCGACACCAAGTCCTACGTTAACGAGGAACTGGAGTATTACCGACCAGACAATGTCCGTGTTAGCAACGGGAGCCTGCGCCTTGTTAGTAGGCGGGAGGAGTTCGGCGGCTGCCGCTACACTTCGGGGAGGGTGGATACCGCGGGCAAGTTCAGCTTCCTACGCGGCGAGGTTGAGTGGCGTGCCCGAATCCCAGCAGGGCGCGGCGTGTGGTCGGTACTGTGGCTGGAGCACCCCCTGTGCGCCCCCGCAGTTCAGTGCCATGATCACTGGCCACCAGCCATCACTGTCATGGACGTCCGCGGCGATGAGCCCAATATCGTCGCAACTACGGTTTTCTACTGGAACGGCACCCAGGTCCTCTGGCCCGGGAAGCCGACGGACATGAAGCAGAACCTGTCCAAGGACTTCCACCTATATAAATTAATCTGGACGGAAGAGGCGCTGCTGTGGTTCGTCGACGGGGTGCTAGTCTTCACCGTGGTGGGCGCCGAGAAGGTACCCACGGAGGCGTTGCAAGTGGTAATGAATGTGGCCATTGGAGGCACCTTCCCTGGCAGCCCCGACAATAACACCCCCTTCCCCACCGAGTTCCTAATCGACTACGTGGTGGTGCGCCAGGGCCATATCGACGTGTCCCGTTGGGTCAACGTCTCCAGTGGGAACCGAGAGCCAGCTTCGGGAGCGCCGGTGTTGGCCATCGTTCTTGGGAGTCTGGCGGGAGTCCTGGGAATTAGCATCGTCGGCATTCTTTTCGGTTTCCTGTATCGGAAATACCGACTGCGGATTGGCGACATGCGTAAAGGCTCGGCCACCAACACCGACTCCACTCTCTTGACTACCCGCTCGCCTTACTTGACGTATCTTATTGACTCGGGCCAAGATCGTGTAGATTCAGCCATCCAGCATTACGTTGACTTGCTAGAGATTCCATTGGCCAACATCGAGATGGGTAGGCCGCAACCATATTTTATTTTTTATTTATTTTGAACTCATTTAATTTTCCTAAATATGTAATTATGTTAGGGGCCGTACTGGGAATGGGAGAGTACGGCATCGTCCGCAAGGGCGTGGCCACCGGTCTGCGGGGTCAGCCGATGCCTACCGCGGTGGCAGTTAAGATGGTGCGTGACCGGACTGATGTGGAGCAAAACCGGCAAATTATCCAGGAAATGAAGATCATGACCCGCGCTGGCCGCCATCTCAATATCATCAACCTCCTTGGGGCGGTCTTCAAAGGTACAGCGTAACAGCAGCAGTTATTCGCCAGGAAGCTTCACGCGAGAGCGTGGTGCTCTTGTACCAAAATTAATTGTGAATCATGAGCGCAATAAAACCAGCTGCACATACTCGCCATGGAAACATAAATAAAAATTCTATCAATTTTTTACTGCGCAGGCGAAGCGTACCTGCTGCTGGAATATTCGAGGCACGGATCTCTGCTCACGTATCTCCGCTGCCACCACGGTGCATATTTCTATAATCAGACGGACACTGACGGCCAGATGCAAGTCTACAGCGCAGCGGAAGTCAGCCGCCTGCAGCAGGCAGCCAACCAGACCCCGCCGACGGCTGCCCAGAACGAGGAGTTCGACCGGAAAGTAATGTCGACCCGGGATCTAATTAGCTTCGCCTTTCAAGTCAGCCGCGGCATGACCTACCTTAACAGCCGCTCCATTATCCACCGCGATCTGGCCGCCCGCAACGTTCTGGTCTGCCACAACGATGTGGTCAAAATTGCTGATTTCGGGATGGCACGACAACTGTCGGAGTACGTTCTCCTCAACGAACAGGTAAGGGACACCAGGTCAACGATCCTTGACGAGAAGTAAGTAAGATTATTAAAGGTGGCGCTGCCGGTGCGCTGGATGGCACCCGAGTCCATTCGGCAGCGGACGTTTTCGCAAAAGTCGGATGTATGGTCTTTCGGCGTGCTGATGTGGGAACTCTTCAGTCTTGGCGAGACGCCTTACGGTAGCTCCGCTCTGGGCATTGGCTACGTCACGGAATTTCTTGCCAGGCTGTTGCAGGGCGTCCACATGGAGCGGTCTCCGGCCTGCCCCTCCGTAATGTAAGTGATCTTTGGGAACTCCATTAATCCAACGTCCTAAACTGACCTCGCTATTGTGTGGCACAGATATGACATTATGGTGCAATGCTGGCGCCCACAGCCGGACGACCGACCGGTTTTCAGCCATTTGGAGCAGCAGCTGACCGGAGTGGCGGGACGAGACTATGTCCTGAATTATCTCGCCCTGGACGAGCCCTACCAGCAGTTTAACGTGGCGCACCAGGATCTTCTCGATGAGATTGTCGACGAATCGCGGTATGAAAACACGGAGACGGAGCTTCCGACTTGGGCAGCAGTGCCCCCGAGTCCAGCCGGTCACCAACCAGACTAAAGCCAGACTGGTCGTTTCATTACCGTGCATAACCTTCGTTTGCTGTCTGATCGTGCCGGCCCGGCGGTCAATGCCAGCTTCAGCCGTTTCCTGAAAGCCTTATTTATTTCTGTCGGGTCACTGTTATTTACCGGTGTTTATACTTTATTCCTTTGAGTGCCTTAATTGAGTAATCGATCGGCATAAAGATGATTTGGAATATTGCGGAGTGGACCCATAGTTTCCCCCTGGCATATTACGGGAAACTGAATCTCTTCCCGTACTCAGGATTCACGTTTAAATTGACTTACGTCTTAGCTTGAGGTGGTTTTTTCAAAAGTCACTGACTGTAGTCGGTTGGGGAATTAAAGGAGAACAAGTCAAGACTACAGTCATGAAAGAGTAAAATCGATCGTGCCACTCGAACAACACGGCAAAACTCCTGCATATTTCCTGCAGCGACTGTGATCCGTGGACCGTGAACTAAACATCATCGGTGTAGCGAAACTAAATCCTAATAACCTTGACCCACACGACATTAGGAGTATACGATGAAATAAAATTGAGTGTGCCACTCGATAGTCGATACACAGTTAAATTCCCTTGACGATTAGCCGATGCTGGAAAACAATTACCAGTGGACCTGCAATGTCATTACCATATTCGTTACATCAATTAAACACTCTCCATCGTCATACCAGGAATATATGTTTGCCGAAGCATACCTGTGTGGTATTGTGCAGAGTGGTTTTCCCACAGTCAGTTCTATTCCCGCTGGCCAACTCAGCAAACACCAGCAACGCACTGACTAAAGTGGCAGCCGTCTGGGAATTCAAGCACGCCAAATTATTTCAACAATTTTAACTGCACCATATAATTTACGATAATTAGTAAACCGAACAGATCAGGTTATTTATCGCGTTAATACGCAGGTAAAGTTTTGTTTTCAGAAATTTTCGGACGGTAGAAACGCGCTGCCCTCTAATTTACTTATTCCTTATGGTTCGGAAATTACGGTAGTTCCGGAATTTGACCAAATTTACGCATCTTCGGGGCGACGCGTAAATTACCTGAAAAGCCGAGTCTCTTGTGACAGTGACACCGGCTAATGAAAAACAGCGGAGTTCATCAGTGGCGTCATTAGTAAAAACCGCCATCCATTCGTTCCGTTTCCAAGCCGTTTTTCCAATGTGGCAGCACTTTCTGGCTACGGAAAACATTTGCGCACCCTGTGATAACATTTAGATTTTAACTCACGACCAGTTACAAACCAGAATTCTTTGAGAGTGACTCTGTAAACTTTGTAACATTGTGTATTGCATGCTGTATACATCCGATGCTCATTAAGGCATAACCGTTATAGAATTGTTGTTGTAATGAAACCAGAAATTCCGTAAATTATCAATTTGACTGGCTACAGTAGACTTCTCTTCTTGGTGTAATTTGATTATTAAATGCAGGTACATACGCTGTAACTTTTTAATACAGGTACATACGTTATGCAGCACAGCAGTAAACAGTAAATTCTAACAACTATCGCTGCTAAAATTCCAAGTATCCCAGTCAAACAAGTTTCCGACAAATATGATTCATTTACCGACAAAATATTGTTTCACGTCTGTGTTTTTTGTTGATCATATTTCTTGCTTTGCAAACTACTCGTATTAAGCTGCTAGTTGCTGTATGTTTACTAGGCAGTACAGCAGAATATCCCCTCAACCAGCATCAACTCAATAAAAAAAAGGTGCTTTCATTCGCTGAATTTTTGTTTACCTGTTCAGTGGAATATACGCAGGCAGCGCCGAGGAGAGACAAATAGAAACCGTACGCAACCATTGCGACGACGTGTTCTGGATTGGGGGATAGACCCGCAGGACGCCAACTAGCATCGAAAGTCCGACCTATAATCCCCGCTATCGAAGTGTAAAAGCGGATTCCCGCTATAAGCGACAAGTGGTTATCGAGATCTCCAACGATGCCGGTTAATCGCGATTGCTGCCTATAATTCTCGATCGTCACGGATCCACTCTTCGCCAGCTGTGTACGTAGATTAAAGGAAACTTGACGGACTATTTTGCTAGTAATCAGAATAACGTAAACCAGGAAACCCAACAACAGGTCACGTCCGAAATACGTCATGCCGAGCATGACTACACTAATACGCACAATCCATTCATTAACAGTGTCTGAAAGCGGGATCGAGAAAAAAACTCCGTTGAGTTCACCAATGTTAGTCCGTGTAACAAAAACCGTTTCTTTCATGTATACGGTGTAGGCATTCTTGAAGAGAGCTGTTACAATGTAAACAAGCATTCCAGTAGCACACAAGATAGTGTCTTTTCTGGTAATTAGCGAGCCGTATATGTGGTCAAGATCACTGATCAGTTGGAGGATTTGCTGGCTCGAGGACCACATAAAAATTATGAACACCAAATTGCAGAAGATCTCGGAAACATCAATTAATTGCATCATAACCGCCGTAAACCAGTTGGAAGACTGTTTAAGGGCGGAGTAATGCTTCCAGTCACCGTACATAAACAAAATTTGTACGCCCACAATCGTTGCTACATACACATACATTGCGAAGCGAATGCATTGAAACCATATTGAACGAGTTTTAAACATTACGGGAAAGTATCCACACATTTGCAAGAGTGTAATCCAAATTCTCGTTATTTTTCTGACGCAACCGTGATTGGCTAGCGAAGTCTGCATCGAAGCCAAATGCTTTGTTGAGTTAACCGACAAACTCGGACCATTTAGTGAAGACATTCCCAAATAAATGAACACTTAATGGCTTAATTTCCTCTAAAAAGCACTTTCTAAGGGTTATACATATTCAAAAGGAAGGCGCTCTCTGCGTCGCGAACTGTTTACTATCAGCAAAAGTTGAGATACACTGTAGAAAGCGAAATTTCTGGAGTGATGATATCATGACACGCTGCCGACAGGTATCCCGAGGCACAAGGGAATTCTCGGTACAATTTAATATACTGGCACACTTGCCAATCAACACAATCGTCATCTCTTTACGAGTGTAGTGCATACGTACATAATAATAATTAGTACGATAATATAAACGACTACAAGGATGTACACGAATGATATAAACACTGCGATATTTTCGTACACATTTCGATGTCCATGGCTAGTTGCGTTGTACCACAATAGCGTAACAGACAATATTAAGTTGCAACAGACAACACCAGTATGCTTGAAAGTAACTGCGCCGCCAGGAAGCGAACGAATACAATTTTGAAGTCTGTATGTTTGTGGGCGGTCAGCTGTCCGAACATTATGCGGTACACTTGTAAACGCAATACACTGTATGCGGCATTGTGGTCATTATTTGACGGGAGCCATTACAATTACTAATAGGTAAACTGTCTAATGCAACCGCTGGTGTGTATTATTGTCTAATGCAACTCTTGGTACGTATGCCGTATAATACAGTACGTGTGCTGCTCATAAGCGCTTGCAGATTCTCTTGGAATAACTTTGTCGTAGGGAAGAATTCAACGGAATCTCACCTTCTCAACAATCGGGCGGTAACCGGAGTTCTTATTAGCAGTATCCCGTATCCATACAGCAAGGCTGGCCGGATCAGTGCACGATATCGGTAAACCTGCTTCCAACATGCGCCACAAATCAGAACACAGATCAGAAGAGTCCAGTGTCAGCGAGCTATACGCAGTTGGCTCCTCCCACGGGTGCAACTCGTACCAACCGTCGGAAGACAACTTGCAGTTTTTCCACATCACCGCGGCAACCGTCGGTGCAGCAGCAGCGCAGGCCTTGGCCATACTGCATACTTCCTGGCTGAAGCGTTTGAACACATTCCATACACATCTGTCCAGTATTATCATCAGATTCTTTCCCGGCGGCTGACACCGTGATTCCCTAATAGCGTGGATTAATCGGAGACAGTGTACCACATCTGTGTCGTCTCCTTGTTGTAAAGGCTGCATTACAACGATTCGTTCCGTCGCTTTGGAAATGTACTTCCATAAACTCTGGGCCACCAGAATAGCTCCTCGCGGTCGTGGCTGGTTGTTTGCTGTGAATGATTTTGTCCGAAATGACACACGAATTTCCGTGCAGTACCGCTCGTCCGTGACCACACAATTCCACAGCATGCATACGCGACGACAGTTCACCCGCTCAATGCTGTCCAGCAACTGCAACACCTCACCCAGAAGTTCCACTGGCAGCTCAATCGGCTATTCTTCGGCATTGTCTGGATTATGTTCGTTCGGTGGAATCCACTCAGATCCGGAGAAAGTCCACCCTGTCTTAATGCGTTTTTCCTTATCGCGTCGGGCATCTTTTAAGAGGGACCCTGTTGTGAAATGTACGTTGAAAATCTACTTTAAAATTTTGAAAAAGTGTGGAAACACGTGATTTGGCATAAAATCGATCTTTATGCTAATGTGCGTGTACGATTTTATGCAGAATTTAAATAAGATAGGTTCATAATCAGACTTTTTTCACACTTCCGTGAGTTTAGACTTTTGCAATTTACTTCTTCAGTAACTGCTCAACCGGATGTTGTGCGCACAAATGATTGTCACGCAAATGTGTGCAAATCATTTGGCCCAGCTCGTCCAAATCGTTGATATAGGTACATAGAATGTCATGAAGCAATGCGGCAATGTGCTTAGGAGTCGCGAATGCGAAAGATTTCTACATGTAGACGAATTCGGAACTTCGCCACTGGATTTTTACAACGCAAAAATGAAAAACGAATTATTCGCTCACGAAATTGTTTCCGAAAACAAGGGAATTAAAAACGGTTTAGGAAATATCTGACGGTGGACCACAAGTGTATCCGTATTGCCCAAGCAGTTACTTGTTATCGAATATAGACCGCCACACAAGTGGGATTTTAAATTCAAGCACTCTCTTTAAACAGCTAAAAGAAATTTATTGACAGTACAATGCAGCAATTGCGTGGTCACGGATTTATGTCCGTTTACTCAGCATAACAAACAACTTAAAGCGCGTTTTAAAATTGAATCTTGGTTTTGCTTACAGTACTTAAAAGCTTACCACAAAATTGCCATTCATTTCCTCATCATGCCGCCTCTTCAAGCATACCACGACGTTTTCGGTGTGACACACTGGGTGAACTCTCCTTGATGATGTTGCCAACTTTTCCTTCCAGATATTCCACAGCGGACCCGACATCGCTCCACCGCCGGAACCCCGCTGTGTTAAGGTGTACGATGGCACGGCAAAATGAGAGGGACGGATGGCGCGGCTCTGTAAAACCTCCATGGACGGCACACTACGGACCGCCTGGACCGGAAACCAGTCCTGGACGATGAGGGGCCCGCATTGGACCTCAATAAACACGCACTCTCTATCGAATACAGAAGGCAAAAGAAACTTGGCCGGGCACCATGTCCACGGTTGATTCGTTGACGCTCGTGCCAACACGTGAATTTGCTGGTAAAAGCCGGAGCCCCGCGATGCCATCTCCAAGATTCGAAGTCTGTCACTTGAATTTGTCCCGGTAAATGAAGGAAACATCGAGCAATGGAAGACATTTCCGTGCAAACGATGGTCCATAGACTGTGCACGGTGTTCGGGATAGTCGAAGTCAAGAACGTAGTCAGTATCGGTAACATTGATGACGTATGCGTGCATAAGCTGATTGTTGTCAACTAGCACATCCACTGCATTCCAAGTGTCCACTCCGGAGGTTTTGCAGAGTAAACGCATCCTGATTAATGTGTCGACAGTGTGGAAATGTTGTGTGAGGTGGCGCAGGTGCTATTTTTTTTCCTCAAAAACACTTCACAACATTTTGCCCGTAGGGTATTTCTAAAGTGAGGAAAATGATGTCCCCGTCGCCATGCGTGCCATAATGGATGTTGATCCGATAAACGTCGTTTAGAAAAGAGGCTTTATACGTATAAGTCGTGCAAGATAAACAGTGCTCTGTTTCAGTGACCCAATAATCGGTATTGTTAATTGACCGGAGCGAAGCGAAGGTCTTCCTAATTCAGCTCCAGTGCTTAGCTTCACTTGTGTCCGTTACGGAAGTCTAGCTATGACGTCATCCTGGATAAGTCAGATAACGTCACGGCTCTATACAGTAGTTTTGCAGTGCTCACTTGTGTCCGTTACGGAAGTCTAGCTATGACGTCATCCTGGATAAGTCAGATGACGTCACGGCTCTGTACAGTACTTTTGCAGTGCTTAACTTGTGTCCGTTACGAAAGTCCCAAATATGACTTTACCGCGGACTAGCCCGATAACGCCATGAGACTGTAGAACAGTTTTGCACTGCTTATCTTGTCATGTCTGTTGGGGAAGCACCGTTGATGGTAACGTGGTGTTTCCTGTATGCTTAAAACGCTAATGAAGAACACAGTGGCACTTCAAATAGCAACCTTTCCCAATGTCGCATTCGAATAAAACGTGCCTAACTTATAGAAGAAGCTCGACAAGTAAGGGCACCCTGGCTTAGATAATGAAGACCCGTGCCAACCCTGGCTTAGGCAGTTGTAAGAAGCAACTGGGGGTGATCACCAATTTTAACAGTGCCGGCAATAATTCAAAAAGGTCACCCAGAGCTTGGTTAAAATCGACTGGCAAATAGACACTCCATTGTTTGCGTAAAATTCCGTTGTTTGTTACAACATTTATTTAGAGAAGCGGGCTTATGATACCTAAACGGTTTCTAAACTAATTACCTTCAACTCTGGCAACAACTAAAAACGAATTTTTAATGGGAGGAGGTGCTTTAGGGACCCTGGGTTGAACTGCTTCAACCCGGCAACGTCTGCTAGGTGGAAAAACCACCAGTATAGTTCGCCAGTTTTTACAACACCAGGACTATTGTTATTGCCTGGGTCACATATGCGTTAGATTAGATAGAGCAAAGATAGTGTATTTTAGTTGCATACTGTATTTTAGTACCTTAAAAACCTACATGGCTTAAAACCCACTGAAAAAATAACGTAAAGTACTACGAAGTGTATCTAAATCGGCTCTTATGGTAATAATTTGGGATTAAATTGGTGATAACTCCATATGAGTATCTCACAATTTCAGTATTACACAAAAGTCTGCAGCTCTTTTGAAAAAACTGTGAATTTACACTGAAAAAAAAACACTGAAAAACAGAAAACACTCAAAAAATAACGCAAAGTTCTACGAAGTGTATCTAAATCGGCTGTTATGGTAAAAATTTGGGATTAAATTGGTGATAACTTCATATGAGTATCTCACAATTTCAGTATCCCACAAAAGTCTGCAGCTCTTCTGTAAAAAACTGTGAATTTTCAAAAACAGCTGGTGGAAATTCCACCGCTTGGGCATTGTCGTAGGACAGTAACATGCTGCCTGAACAGGCACAATAACCAGAGCCGCACACTTCATATGATTCAGCCGTTGCGTACTAAGAGAGTAGCCAAACCATAACACTGTCAGCAAACTGATCAAAATATCAAACAAATAAGGACATCTCAGTGCTTTTATAATAGCATAAATGCTAATAAAACATTTTTCTTATCATATCACAATATTTTCTTCGACTGCAATAGGAAAAAGAACAATAGAACGACGTTGTGATCGAAGCAGCCAACAATAAATATGGCTGGCTATGATCAGTGTTATGCTCATGTAAACTGGCGCAGCCCACCATGACCCTGTTGCATACTGACCGGAATTCAAACATTTTTTGAGTATAAATTCAACCATGAACCTTTTCATGATGAATTAAATTGCACAAGCTAACTATTATAAAGTGTAAGCAGCTACCACAGCCAGGTTGATTCGAGTAGATCAAGTAGCCACAATGTTGTGTACAA